AGCCCAGCCGCCAGCAGGGTGCTCCCCAGGCCTTGCCCCGCCCCCAGGGTTCCCAGCCCCACTACCCCGGGTGAGAAGGGGTCAGTGCGCTCAGACGTCCCCCCTCTCCCGAGCGCCCAGCGCTGGGTCCCCGCGGCGCCGTCCAGGAGGCCAGGCTCGCCCGCCCGGGTCCCCAGGCTCGCCTGCCCCGGTCCCCAGGCCCCGCCCCGCGCGGGGGCTGGGGCTACGACTCGGGCACGCAGGCGTGGAACCTGAGGCCCGGTGGGGCGCGGCAAGCTTTCTCCAGGGGGAGGCCCCGGTCCCTTAGGGCCACCCGCCCGGAAGCCGCGGGTCCCTGCCGTCGAGGTCTGGGCGACTGGGTGTTCGGAGGGAGCCCTGCGGCCGAGGCCTGGCGTAGGCGGGGAACTGAAACTGGGCGGCGGGGGCGGGGGGCTGAGTCGCGCTTTCCGAGGGGTGCGGCGAGGGCAGCAGCTGCGCGGCCCTCCAGCCCCCCGCGAGGGACTCTCCCTGCTCGCCTGGCCGGCCACGGGTCCTGGAGGCGGACGTGGGAGGAGGGGCTGCTCTGCCCCCCACGGAGGGCGGGGCCGCGTCCGGTGACTCACCGCCCAGTGACGCCCACTCCCCCTGACTCCGGCGGCAGCCCAGCGCCCGTGGGCACCCGTGTGGGCTCCGCTGTCCCGGATAGCAAAGGGGCTCAGGGTCCCCCAAGAAGTGCTGGCGGGGGGTCCCTCGGGCCTGCGGGGCCTGCAAGAGGCCAAACGCGCCCTCCCACCCCAGCCTGGCTTGCCGCCAGGCCAGAAGGAGCAGGAATTGGAAAAGTTTTCCAACCAGCACCGTGACTCCCTTGGAGGTTCCCTGCCCCTGCCGTTCGCCTGGAGATTGGGGGCCAGGGGATTGGGGTGCTCCAGGGCAAGGGGCAGGCGGGGCCTCGCGCTGCTGTGGGCACCCCTGCCCACTGCCAGCCAGCCCCAAGCACGGGGGTGCAGGATGGGGTGGGGGCAGGTTCCGTCCCTCCGAGTCGCCGGCGGGGAGAGCACCAGGCGGGCTCGGGGAGACTAGGTCCAGGGTGGCCCTGTGCAGTGGAGGAGCCCCAACCAGCTGGGCGGTGGGGCGGTGGGGGGCAACACTCAGGCTTGTCCCTACGAGCCCCTGCCCTCCTGCCCGGGAGGCAGCTGGCCACACCAGTGACAGCCAGGGACACCAGCAGGCCACGCCCTCTGCAGCCCTGCTCTCCCAGGGCGTCCGGAAGCAGTGCCTCCTGGCCCACCGAGGCCCAGACCCAGAGGGGCAGGGGCCTCCTCCCCAGGCCCCAGGCCCCAGGCCCTTGCTGGGACTTCTTCCTTAGAAACAGGAGGGCGGGGTGCACCCCATGCCCGGCTGGCCAAGGCCCTGTGTGCATGCGCAGGCGTGTCAAGGGTCCGGCCTTGGGAGGCGGGAGACCCTGCCGCAGACATGGTGCCGCTCCTGCTCCTGGGCTCCTCGGTCCTGCCAGCCCCCCCCACCTTCTGGCCCCCGCCCCGGGGTGCTGTGGCTCAGCCCCTCCCTCTTGTCCAGCAGAGCCCCTTGCCCTGCATCCGCCCCCTGGGCAGGGTGAGGGGGGGACCCCACTCAGCTCCTGCCCCCCATGTGCCACTCTTCCCTGCTCACGGGCTGGCCTCTGTGCCCGCGGACACAGCCCGGGGTGAGGACTTGGCCACAGGAGCAGCCCCCGAGCACCCCCCAGGGTCCTGTGCCGGGCCCAGCCCCCCACCCCACCGCACCCGCCTGGCCAGAGCCTGGCAGGTTTGGCTTGGGGGAGTGCGAACTGCAACCTCCCGTCCTGTGGGGTCCTGGACGACGCTCCCACCCCACCCCCACGCCCACTGTGGGCCTGGGGGCCCTGCCGAGAGGGGGGTGGACACCGGAGGACCTGTGGGGGTGGGCTGGCCAGGGCTGACTGGCAGGAGGGGCTGAGGGTTTGTGTGTGCAGGGGAAGGGGACCTGTGGCAGGCAGAGGGCATGGGAGGGGTCACGGGGGCTGGGGGAGTGGGGGAGGGCGGAGGTAGGCGAGGGAACATCTACACCCAAAGGCCTCTGTGCAGGCCGACCTGGCTTTCTCATGCGCTCCGGCGCGTTGGTGCCAGGGCTGGCATCAACCTCCTGGGGGGACACGGGACCCGGACGAGGCCCTGCCACTCTGGGCCTGTCCCCAGGGGTGCAGCTCAAGGCCGAGGGGCCTCCGCTGGGCACCAGGGCCGCCTCGCAGGCCTGGGTCTGGAGCTGGACTACAGCGGCCCCACGAGCGTGGCCTCTGACCGGGGCCTCGTGGGGATGGGGACCCGAGCCCCGCGCTCAAGCTGCCCCCCTGCACAAGGTGCCCTGTCCCCTTCCTGGGGGAGGTTCCTGGAACAGGCCTCCGTGGCGGCAGGAGGGACCCGAGGGAGCGCTGGGGCCAAGCCTCCCGCCCGTGAGGGCTGCCAGGCCGGTATGCCACGGGAAGGCCCCTCCCCGCGCACCGGACGCTGGCCCAGCACGGGACGCTCCGAGGACAGGCTGGGCCGGCTCCACCTGCCTGTCCGCCCCCCGCGGCGGGGCCACCTGCTCCAGGGCCTGGAGCCCTGGCCCCCGAGGCCCCCGGCCCCTGGCACAGGCCTGGGCACAGATGGCTGCACTCGCGGCGCCTGCAGGGCTCACGTCATCAGTGCGGGCGGGGGGACGGCAGGGGCTGGCAGGCGTCCAGGCCCCCAAAGATCTGTTCCCACCCTTTGGGGCCTGGTGTGGGCAGGGCAGGCAGGAGGGTGCGGGGCCGCTCCCCCAGAGTGCAGTGGGCATCTGGGGGGGTCCAGGGTCCCACCCAAGCCCCTGGTTTCACATCCTGCGGGGCCAGCGGGGCAGGGGCACAGCCCCACCCTCGTGTGAGAGCACAGACTGTCCTCAGGGACACGCAGAGGGGCGGGCGGGCCCACCCCCATTTCCCCTGTAGGGCCCTCTCCCCTGCAGGGAATGGTCACCCAGGTCACCCCAGTGCCGCCAGGGCTGGAGGCCTGTCGGGCAGAGCCCAGTGCTCTCACAGAGCCCGAGGTCTGGCTCCTCCTGGCCAGCAAGAACAGGTGGCCCTGTGGGACAGGCAGGCAGAAGTGAGGCCAAGGGGGCGTCGGGGGCGTCAGGGGCCCAAGGGTGGGGCGGAGGCTGAGGGCCACGTTGAGGGCCGCTCGGGCTGAGCTGTGCAGCTGCTGCTGTGAGTGGGCAGGCGGCTTCCTCTTTCCAGGAGGGTGCGCCTGGCACCCACCACCCCAGACGAGGACCTGAGTTCTCTGCCTGCGAGTCAGCCCCTGACCACAGGGTGGAGGGTGGGGTCCCCAGGGCCAGATTGTGGCCTGGGGCGGGGGTTGGTGCTGCTGGACTGGGAGGGCGGCAGAGGCCCCGAGAGGGAAGAGGCAGGCAGGCCCGGCTGAGCCGAGGGCGGGGGTGGCCAAGCTGCTGGTGACAGGCAGAAGTGAAAGCTGGGGGGGACACCGACTGGGGACCCCAGCAGCCTTCCAGGAGCACCCCCTCTGCACTGGCCTGACTGCACCCCCAGGTACCAGCAAGGGAAGGGAGGGGAGACCAGGCCAGCTGCAGAGCTCCAGGAAGGTTGAGGCCGGGCCGCAGAGGCCGGCCCCCAGGGGGCGGGCGGCCGGAGGTCCACCTCTGTCCTGGAGACACGCTGGGGGGTGGTTCCCTGATGCTGACCTCTCCCCGAGCCCCTCAGGATGGTGGAGGAGGGGCTCTGACACCAGGGGACCCCCATCCTGTCTGCTCTGGGTGAGGGTGGCCAGAGCTTCCTCAATGCTTTCTCTCCCAAGTGGAGCCTGGGGTGGCCCAGCCTTGGGCAGCGGGGCCCGGAGCCAGGAGCTGCCCGGCTCAGCTTGGAGGTCCCAAGCAGGGCCAGCCTCCCTGCCGGGGAACCCCCATCCCAGACCCCAGAGTCGCCCACGCAGATCTGCCCGCCCCATGGCCTGACCCCTCCACCTCTGGGAGGGGTCTGGGTGGCCTTGGGACTTCTCACGGTGAGAGGCCGGGGGCCAGGAGGGTCCCTGGGGGTGGGCACAGCCGGGTGTCCCGTGCTGCCCTCATTCTGGCCAGACAACTCGGGGGCAGGCACCAGGCCCGGGTGGCACCTGGGCCGAGGGGCAGCTGTGCCCCGTTGAGGTGTTTGGTGTCCACACCTCGGGGCTGCAGGACCCCTACCCACCCAACCTGCCTCAGACCCCAAGAGAGAGGGGCAGCTGCTGGGGGCCCGGGTCCAGGGCCTTGGCAGGGGCTGCACGGCGCAGAGGACTGGTGAGTGGGAGCTGGCTGTCCCACCCGCCCCCAGCCAGCCGCTGTGGCACGGGTCTTTCGGGCCAGCTGGGCGAGACTGCCTGCACCTGGGGACCACTGGGGGGTGGTCTGTGCGCTTCTGGACCCAGGTCTAGGGGTGTCTCCGGAGCTGCAGGAGACGGGCCTGGGAGTGGGCCTGGGCCAGGGCCAAGCTGCCCCTGAGCTCCCGCCCACCAGCTTCTCCAAGGGACCAATGAGGGGCTGGGCGGGGCAGGGGGCGGGGCGGGGCAGGGAGGCCCGGTGTGGACGGCCGAAGGATGCTGGGGGGGGCCCAGTGGGGTCCGGGGAAGCCTCCTAGTGTCAGGCAGGCACTTCTGCTTCTCTCTCAGAGTGACACGGGGTCCCCGGTTCTGACACCACCTCCCCACTAGAGACACAGGCTGGCTCTGCGGGGGCCCAGGCCTCACAGACCCCGTGGAGGCAGGGCCAGGCCAGGTGCACCGTGTGGGCGGGGCTCCGATGACGTCCCGGCACCAGGAGGGGCCACAGCACTGGCGGGGGGCGGGGCATGGGGGTCGGACTAGCACAGGCCGCTCCCAGCCCCCCACGCGGCCCGGACGGTGGGGTGGACTCCCAAAGCCCTCCACTGCAGGACGTCACGGCGGGGGGAGGGGCGCCGAGGGGCGGGGCACAGAACGAGATGGATCAACATGCCAAGCTTTCTTTTTAAATCAGGCATTTATAAACAAGAGCGCATACATTAATTACATAAAAATAGTTCTCGGATAGTAGAGTAAGTCATCATATTGTCATTAGCAGCAGCAGAGGGGCGGGGCGGCGATGCGGGCGCTCCTGGCGGACACAAGGTGGGGCTGTGTCTTCGCTGTCCTCGGAGACAGGGCGTTCGCGACTCCCGGCCTGAAGCGAGAACGAGCTTCCCCCGGGGCCCGGGAGCCTGGGGAGGGGCGAGCTCGGCGCCCCGACGGCCAGGTCGCTCGGACGCCGGACGCCGCCGGGCAGGGCCGCCCTCCCCTCCCCTCCCGGCAGAGGAGCGCGTCCGGTGGGGACCGCCCAGATGAGACAGCTGCCGGGGGAGGGGGAAGGGGCCTCCGGACCCCCGTGTGCGCGTGTGATGCAGAGCGTGACGGGGGTATCTACAGGGGAGGCCCGTCACCGGCCAGCTCGGACCGAACGCGGAGCACCCGGCGTGAGTTAGCTGCTCCGTGGGTGTGTTATTGCTGCTGTGTCTTCCCTCCGTGGGGTACCCTCCGGCCGGGAAGGTGGGTGACTCGACCGCACGCGGGCGCCAGCGGCCTGCAGCGCAGGCCCCTCCTCCTCAGGCTCTCTGAGGAGGCCGCTGCGCCAGGGAGCTGGGGGTGGCGGGCACCCCCTCCCGCCGGCCTCACCCTGGGAGCTGCCCAGGAAGGTCAAGCTGCTGGTGAAGGGCAACCGCCGCCCCCGACTCCGCCCCGCGGCCCCGGGGGGGCCGGGCCTGCCGGGCCGACCCCCTGCTCTGGGAGACAAGCCGCCGGCCCGGCTCCTCCCAGGGCTCGGGACAGGGCCGAGGGGCGGGGGCGGCAGGGAACAGGCGGCGCCCTCGAGCACGAGTCAGAAAAGTCCGTCTCCCCGGCGGCCTGAGAACTCAGGAGCAGCGGGGGTGCCCGGCGGCCGCGGGCTCCCTGCCGCTCCCCGACCGGCCGCACAGAAGCACACCGACACGGGTAAAGCTTTGCTCCAACGAAACCGTTTAGTTTCCCTCGAAAAATGGCTGGGAAAAAAAAAAAAAAACCACAACTCTGGAGAGACGAGGCCGACACGGCCTTCGGACAGCTGCCCAACCACCGACCCTTTCCACGACGCGATAATAATGCCCATCGAGGGGTGCACGTGGGGCGGAGGCTGCGACTCCATGCATACGGGGCTGGCCGCTGGGAAAGGAAAACGAAGCGAGAGAACACGAAACCCAGACGCACGCGCGGTGTCCCTTTGCATTGCACTTCAGGAGGGGGTCCGGCAGCACCTGGGCCCCCGGCAGACCGAGGGCGAGGCCCCGCAGGCGTGTCGGCACCCGCGGCTCCGCCCCGGCCTGTGCGTGGCCGCGGGGGCGCGAGGGCGGAGTCGGGCCCGGCGGCCGCGCTCGGGCGGGCAGCGCCTCTGGTCTGCGGGGGAATCACTTTCAAGCTCGGGCGTCAGAAACCATATACACTTTGCATAAACAGTTGAGCGTAAACGAGATTATTTGGAATAAATGCAAGGAACTCATTCTGAGAGCGGCAGAGTCGGTCGCTACTGCAGACGGGTATCGGGGGGTGAGCAGACGATTCGGGGTTCGCTGTACACGATGCTGGAAGGCACAGAGCTCCCCCCGCGGTCAGTCCGCGCATTCCGTGACTCCCTTGTCCCACGAGCACCAGGGGGGTTCCGAACGCTCAGCACTGGGGCGGCGACCTGCTCTAGACGTCGGTCTCGGTACTTGGAAAGTAAAAACCTCAGTTAACTGGGGAGTAAAAAGAAGAGGAAGGGTGTTTGACAAAGTGCGGTTCTAAATACACGTTTAAATGAACAAACGAACAAAAAGAAAAGGTGAAATAATGCTGTTTTGTTCCGATGCTGCAGCCTCAGTCCCAGGGAGGGGGCGCGGTGTCTGCCCCGCCGAGGAGGGTCGCCGGTCCGGCGGCGGGGACGGCCTTCTGTCCCCGCCCGCGGGCGCCGCCCCCGCGGTGTCTGGGAGCACCGGCCCGTGGGGACAGGGCAGCGGGCGTAAGGCGGCAGTGTCAGCTCAGGGCGCCCTCTCCTCGCTCTCACGGGCGGCAGCATGGGAGGCCTGGGTCCTTGTTGCTGAAAAAATAGAGACTCTGGAGAAAAGCCCTTCCTGCCCTCTGCAGCCGCGGGCGGGCTGGGATGGCTTCGCGGGGCGGGGCGGGGCAGCGGCCGCCCCGCCCCCTTGCGGGTCCTCGGACGGCAGCGGGGCGTGTGGGTGGGGCTTTTAAAAGTTAGTCATTAAAAAACGTGTTGATTTTTTCTGAATATCAAGTCTTCTTACTGGTTTTAAATAGCTTATAACAAAAGTGTAAATGTTAGAGTGTTCCAGCAAGCAGAGGCCAGCCACAGCCACCGAGCTGGCCTTGTTTCCAGCTACATACAGGTGGGGACCCAGCTTGCTCGCTTGAACTTGGCCAGTAGAAAATTTCGCAGTGGATTCCAAAAGCATGGGGTCGCGAACACTCGCTTGGTTGTAGGCACAGTAAGACGTTGTGCTATACGGCCGGGAAGAGGGGAGGCTCGCCCCACGCGGAGCCCCAGCGGCGTGGCGCCCGCCGCCCTGTCCCCGCGGGGTCCGGGCCGCCGGACAGCAGGCAGTGGGTCCGCTAGGGCTCTAGCTCTGTCGCGCTCTCGCCGCCGCCGCCCGCAGCCTCGGGCCGGGGCCGCGGCCACAGCTGCTCCTGCAGCTCCTTCACCACCTTCTCCAGGTGCTCCCGGGCCTCGCGCTCCCGCAGCAGATCGGCGCGCAGCTGCTCGCGGTCGGCCTCCGCGTGCTGCAGCTTCACCTGCAGGTCCTCGATCTGAAAGGGGCCCCGGGCGTCAGCAGCCCCGCCTCCCCCGCACCCGCCAAGCCCGAGCCCGGTGCCCATCCAGCCCGGCTCCCGCCACCAGCCGGGCGTGCGGAGCCCGGGGCTCCCACTGCCCGGGCCCAGCCCCGGGGCACCAGTGAGGCCGGAGGAGGGGCTGCTGAGCCCACTGCCCGAAGTCCCAGGACGCTGGCCGGTCTGAGACTCCCCAGCGGTAGCTCGGCCCCGGGTGGCGCCCTCGCGCCTGCCCCCACCCCGCCCCCTCCAGCCTGCCCTCACCCCGCCCCCTCCCGCCCTATGCACCTGGGCCCCGCCCTACGCGCCTGGGCCCCGCCCCACGTACCTGGGCCGAGTACTTGGCGCGCAGGCGGCCGGCCTCGCAGCCCTTGTCGCACACCCGGACCTGCCGCGCCTGCTCCAGCTCCCGCTTCAGGCGCAGCCGGGCCTCGTTGGCCTCTTTCATCTTCTTCTCGTTCTCCGCGCGCAGGCGCTCGATCTCCTTCCGCAGGTTGCGCTTCGCCTCCGTGGCTTCCCGCAGCTTCTCCTTCTTGGCCACGCGCAGGAACTCCAGCTCCTGCGACAGCAGGAGGCTCGGGGTCACAGCCCTGTCCGCCGCACCCTGCGCAGGGGACAGTTGCGCAGCACGGCAGCCACAGGCCCTGCCCGCCCTCCCGCTACTCTGAAGGCTGCAGGGTGCCCGCAACGCCGGGAGGTGTCCCACGCCGAGACTCCTCTGCGCCCCCACAGCCCCCTGACCCGGCCCCGCGGGGCCCCCACCGCTGCTCCCCTTGTGCCTAGCTCCTGGGGACTTCCTTCCGGCCCGGAGCTGGCTCGGCTCCAGCAGCAGGCGGCACTGCGCGCGCCCCCTCCAGCTGGCTGCCCGTGACTCACCCCCTGCAAACGCGCTCATAAATAAGCACGTGGGAAGTCACGCCTCCAACCAGGACGGGCGGGGGAGGGGCGCGCATCTGAAGCCCAGGGCTCGCGGGACCACAGGGCTGTGTTGTGCTGGCAGCCCACGTGTGAAGCCGGCCGAGCTGCCAGACGCCGGCAGAGGTGTGAATTCAGCAGAGCTGGCGTGAAGGCCCCACCCGCCCCCAGGCGCTGGGAACTCTCCGCCGCTCGCGCTCGCCAGAAAAGACTCCAGGACGAGAGGATGCGCAGAAGCGGTGCCGGGGGCACCGGCTGAGCTCAGGGCCCCACAGGTGGTCCCCCGCCGGCCCCGCTCAGTGCGAGCAGGGGGTGCTGGCGGGCGCAGACCACCCCGAGCCTCCGGCCCCTCTTCCAAAGAAAGCAACGACTTCCGTGGAATCATCTGGAACCCAGCGTGGGGACGGAGCAGTGTGTGCAAGCATGTGTGCACCTGCCCGGCGCCTCGCCCCCTCCCCCAGGCCAGGCTCTCGGGGGCAAGTCGGGCCCCCACACCCACTGCCGGGGCCTGCGGCACCAGCGCCTGGAAACCAGAGCTTTCGGGGACAACCCTCAAAGCCACATCCCGCAGATAACCGGCCGAGCTGGCCTGTGCGAGCCACAACGCTGGAGCACGGAGCTGCCGGGGGCCCCTCGATGACCACACGCCCACCAAGCCGGCCCCGGGGCCCGGAGCCCACCTGGTGGAGGCTGCGCTTGGCCTGCAGGGCGGCGCTGAGCTTCTCCTCCTGCTTCACCCGCATCTTCACCACCTCGTGCAGGAACTTCTCTTTGGCCTCCCTGGTGTCCAGGCCGCCCTCCAGGGCTTGGCGCAGGTGCTCCAGCTCCGCCTCCAGCCCCCCGCTCGGGGCGTCGGCGGGGGCCGCGGCGTCTGGGGCCGCGGGCGGGGCGGGCGGGGCGTGCACCCCCGGGGAGCTCAGGTCCTTGGCGGAGCTGGACGAGGTGAAGGACGGGGAGGAGAGCGAGGACAGGGAGGAGGTGACTGCGGAGACAGAGGCGGGCGCGGGTTACGGGGGAGCGCGGGCCACACCCCGGGGGGGGGGGCAGGCCGGCCGGCCGGCGGCTCACACGTACACTCCTCTCTGCTCTCCGCCTCCGCCTCGGCCTCCGAGTCCTTGTCGTCCTCCGGGGCGCCCGCGGGCGCCGGCGTCTCCGAGGCCCCGGGCGTGTCCGCCGCGAGCTTCCGCTTCCGAGGCTGGATGCAGGTGGCGAGGGGCTCGGGGCCCCGGGCGACGACGGTGGCGCACGGCGGGCTGCTCACGGCCTTCTGCTGGGCCGGCGGGGCCAGGGCCACGTTGGGGGCCACGCCGGTCTCGAAGCTCTTATAGGAGTAGAAGCTGCGGGGGCAGGGGGCATGGGGCTGCAGGTGCGGCCGACCTCTCACCCCCACCCCACCCCCGCCCCTGCCCCGGGGGCCAGCATGCGACCGTTGGGGGCGGAAGGTGGGGAGCCAGACGCGAGCTGCTGCCTGGGGAAGCGGACACGGGGCGCCAGCCACCGTGTCCGGAACGGGCCACGGCCACACCCTAACGTCCCGGAGGTTCCCGGTCGGCTCCCACCCGTCAAGAGCCAACACTTCCCATGCCGGGCGGTTGGGGCCTGGGCAGAGAGCCTCAAAACCGCCCTCGTGCCGGGCACACAGAGGCCAGGATGACTCGAACACGAGGCGGGTCCCTGCTGCACAGCCACAGCGGCTCGTTGGAGGCAGCGGGGTCGCACCTGGCGCCTGCCTGTGCGGCACTCAGAGGAGAGCCCCGAGGAGCGGCGGCACCGCCCCCAGACACGCACCGACACCCGGGACCACGCCGACTCGGGGGGTTTGAGGACGCCGGCCGTGGAGCTCAGCAGGGAGCTGGCCGCCACCGCCACCGGGCCGCAGCGCCCGAGCCCGCCCCACCGTCCCCAGGCCTGCGGTGACGGCTGGCTGCTGAGCACAGTGGGCCCTTACCTGTCTCGAATCAGGGCCGGGAGGTGTGGGGAGAGCTCTTTGTCACTCGCAGAAACAGCAGGGGACCAGGGTCGGAAGGCGGAGAGGCGCTGGCGAGGGTGAGTGCAGCCCAGGCCCTGCAGGGAGAGGCGTGGGGGTCAGCGGCCCCGTGTGCGAGGGAAGGGTGCCGGAGGCCCCCCCGCCCGAGCCCCAGCCCTGCAGAACCTTGCTGGAGGCGCCAGGCAGGGTCCGCAGCCAGCCTGACTGCTTGTCCTTCTCTGAAGACGTGGGGTGCTGGGAGGGAGGGTCGTCTGGTTTTCTTATGGAGACTGGGGGCTCGGACACCTGCGAGTGACACAGACATTCATGCTGACACCACGGGCGCGTCCGCCCACCATCAGACCCCAGCGGGCAGGCAGGCGGCCGGTCCGGGGCTGCCCGGCCCCGACCCGCAGGTGGGGCTGACCAGGCGCTGGCCCGGCGGGCCTGGGGCGCGAGGCCACAGCCCCGCCCCACGACGGCGGGACCCCCAGGTGAGTCCGCGGCGTGAGCGGCCCTCACCTCGGCCCCCCAAGTGCACAGGAGCTCGGTGCCGAACAGCCAGTAGGAGCCAAGGGCCCTTCCCTCCGAGGTCTGTTCAGGGCGGCCCCTGCCTCCCGGCGCCCAAGGGCCTGTCTGGGAAGCCCCCAGGGGAGCAGACCCCGGCCGAGTTTGGGGCCCTCTGCCAGACATCCCAAAGCTTCCCAGGGGTGTCACACAGCACCCCCAGAGCTCTGGGTTTCACCCAACAGAACTGACTTCAGACGTGTCCTGGGCCTGAGGCAGCCGCACCCGGGGGGGCGGGGGGTGCTGAGCGGCCTCAGCGATGAGCCTCCGCGGCAACGCTCAGACGCAGGACGGCGCCCGCCACGGGAGGGCCAAGGCCACCGTGCCAGGGTCCGCGTGGGCCCGGACAGAACGCGCCTCCCACCAGGGCTCCCAGGGGGCTCAGCGTCTCTTCCCAGAAGACACACCGGTCTCTGGAAGGCAGGTCTCTCCCCCCGCAGGCCCAGCCCTGAGCCGGAGGCTCTGGGACCCCGAAGCAGCCGTGCCGGGGTCCGCACCACGAGCCACTCGGGGCGAGAGGCTGTCAGGACGACGCCCGGTCGCTCTGCCAGGCCCGACCCGAGGGGTGGGGTGAAGCGGGCACCCCCCCACCTCTGGGAGCACCTGGGGGGGCACCGTCACCCCCGAGGGGCGCAGCCGAGACCCCACACAGGAGGCCCACGGGCCGGGGAGGGCAGCACAGGCCCAGGGAGCAAGCCGGTGCCTGTGCGCCCTGCCCCACCCGCCCCCAGGGCAGCGTGGTCCCACAGCCCCTGCAGGGGCGGGCGAGGGCGGGGGGGGCGCCGGTGGCCGCACTCCAGGAGGCAGGGAGCACCAGTCTTGGGCACGCGGGGCCGGAGGCCTCTGCCCAGCCCCCCGGGACACGTCCGGGCGGGGGCGCCGGTGGGCGGCAGACTCAGGCCAGGCAGGAAGGACAGACCCGCTCGGTGCCGCTTGTTGGGGGAGACGAAGCCACGGGGGTGGGGGGTGTCAGGGGGCTGCTGACCTCTGAACTCTGCCTGCTCTGTCTGGTCTGCCACCTCTCCCCTGCACACAGCCAGGCGGGGCCGGTCCGGGCGAGGGCGGGGCTTCCTGTCTGAGCGGCGGACGGGGAGGAAACTCACAGGAGGTTCTCACCGGAGGCAAAGCCGCAGGCGCCGACTCTGAGAAGCCTCAGGGGGACTTCCGAGGGTGTCAGACGCCCGGCTGGAAGGCGGGCCGCACCCTCCTGAGGGGCCCCCGGCGCCCACCGCCAGGCCCTGTCCGCCCGGGGTGCTGGCCCGGGCGCAGGCCCAGGCAGAAACCGAGGGCCAGGTCCGCCGCCGACCGCGCTGCCACAGGAGCAGCAGAGCTTGTCCGAGCTCCCCCGCGAGGGGCGGCCGTGGGCTCAGGCCTGGGGTGGGGGGTGAGCGTCAAACCCCACCCTCCTGCGAGGAATCCCCCACAGAGGAAGGGACACCCACTGTCCACCTCTGACAACACACCTCTGAGACCACCCGGGGACACACACGGGGGCACCGACGAGGTCTGGGTGGCGGCCAGGCCGCCGTGCTCACACCCACCAGGGCCCAGAGGCACGGGAGCCAGCGCCGGCCGGGGCCGGATCTCTGCCGGCTCCTCGGGGACCGGGTCCCAGCACTTCGAAGTCACGGGTGGGACAGAGAACAGAATCCCCCAGAGCCCGGCCCGCTGAGGGCTGGACCCCAGAGACCAAACGGGACAGAGAACCAGCACCCCCAGTGCGGCCCCCGGTGCACACCAGCCCTCGGGGGCGGTGGCAGGGGTCACCAAACCCAGGGCTGTGCCAAGAGCTGCACCCAACTCCTCGGGGCTGCGGCGGGGCGGTCCCCAGGACACGCGGGGGAGCCCACGGCGGCAGGCGGCCCGTCTGCACGCCCCGCAGCCCACGAGCCTCGGCGTCCAGGCCGAGCAGAGGGGCGCCAGCAGCCCCCAGGTGGCCCCAGGCCGGGATGGCCGTCCCCTGGCTCCCGGGACACCCTGCACATCGAACCAGTCCCCAACTCCCGACTGGAAGTCAGACACGCGCCCGGCGTCCTGCAGCAGCCGGCAAGGGCGGCTCCGAGCGGGCGACACCTGTCGAGGCCTGGGCCAGCGACCAGGGAGAGCCACGGCCGGGCCCAGGGAAGTTCCCGAGACACACACGGCTGCGGGCCCGGCTGTGGGCGTGTGGCCCCCACAACCCTGGGGCCTGGGCTCACCCCCGAGAGAACGGGCAGAGGCTGCCGGCTCCCGGGCCGAACGGGAGGTGTTGGTGCGGGAAAAGACAGGGCCCCCCACTCTGCCGCCCCGCTGAGAGGGGGCTGCCAACCTGACGGGCACCTGCCCCGCCAGCGGGCAGCGCCCCCAGGCAGGTGCCACGGAGCTGGGGGCGTCGCCTGCGTGCACGTGCTGCTCTGTGTGACGCCCGGCCCGGCAGCCCGTCACTCCGCCCCCCGCACCCCCCCCCAGCCCCCGCGCACCGTCCCCACCTAGGTCCCAGGACACGGGAGGGGGCGAGCTGTGGACAGCGGCCAGTCTCAGCTGTGGCCGTGAGCAACTGCCACCCGGAGCATCCATGCCACGTGGTGCCACGGAGTGAGGCCACGGGACAGAGGCCCATCGAGGGCGAGGGCAGGTGGTGCTGGGAGCTGCCGGGGGGGGGGGGGGTTCTGGTCGCCGGCCAGTGAGGCCGTCAGAGGGGGTCCGCGGGCAGCACAGGGCGCGCGGACGACAGCGGCTCGGCCCCACCCCCACACCGCGCAGCTGGGGCGGGCGCCTCTCCTCGGGCACACGCGGCCTGCAGGCACGGGGAGGGAGGCTCCCAGCGCAGCCCAGCAGGGGAGGGAGACACCCCCCCCCCCAGAGAGGGCCATGACCACGGACACAGGACCGGCAGGCACGGCCAACGGGGTGGCCTGTGCCCCACGGGCGGGGACGTGGCGCGTGAGCGGCAGCCGCTGCAGCAGCCAGGTGCCCAGGCCCCCTCCCCGGCCAGCGCCCAACAGAAGGGGAAACGGGGACCAAAACCCCTGGAGGGCTCTCGATGCCGCACTCGGGACGTCTCCCGTTTCCAACGGCTGCTGTGGAGCTCCCGCACCCGCCCCATGGAGCTGGACGGGGGACACACGCGGACCCACGGTGCACTCACCAGGCAGCCGGCACCGGTGTGGCGGCGGAGTGGAGGGTGAGACCCCGCCCGCACCGCTGTAGGGAGCATCCAGGCCGTGGGCGGTGGGGGCACAGGGTGCGGGGTCCCCCATGTAAAGCACAGCCCCCCCACCCGGCAACCCCGCTCCAGGGCACGGACCGGGGACCGGAAGGCACACACCCACAGAGCCCCGCCGCTCCCCGCCCGCGGTGCGCCCCACACGCGTGCGGCGGCCACGTCAGAGGCGAGTGCAGACACCGGCCACAACGGGAGGAACCTGGAGCGGCCGCTCAGCGAGGCCAACACCCGGGGCCGGCGTGAGGCTCTGCTGCCGTGACGTGGCACTCGCCCCGCACTGGCGGGCCCGGACGGCACGGGCCCTGGCGTGGCGTGACCGACGCGGCCGGGCGGCGGGACCCTGCAGGCGGCGGAGGGTGTCCCGAGGTGACGGGTCGGGCGGGGGCCGCGTGTGAAGCCCCTGAGCTGCCCGAGTCGAGGAGTCGCAACCCGGCGCGTCCACTCCCCGGCGCAGGCAGAGCTCCAGGGCGGCTCTCCCCCCGGCGGCCGGACTCCAGGGGCCGTGGCCGGGGGCCAGGCTGCCGGCAGGGAGTCACTCCGCACCGAGAGGGGAGATCCCACCGAGCACTCGGGCAGCCGGATCCGGGAGAACGAGGCACACCACACCGTGGAACACCGTGCACTCTGCACGCCAACCCGAGGCCTCCCAGCGCCGCGCCGGGAGCCTGGCGTCAGCGCCAGGTGCGTCGGAGCCATGCGAACGGGACGCCCGTCATGAAGCACCTCGGGGCCCCCCCAGCCCCCGTCCCAGTGCCCAGGCGGGGCAGGCACACCCAGGGCCGAGGCCACGTGCGCATGGGGCCCTGGGGGGCACATCACTGCTTGCAGCCGCCTGCTCACTGCAGGAGGTCGCCCTGGCCCCAAGCAGGTCCCAGGACGCACGGTCCTCCCAAGGCGACATGGACGCCTGTGCCCACGTCCCTGGAGGTGAGTGCGCCGTCCCGGCCCCTCCCTGGACGCCTCCCTGGTCTAGAGACCACACGGCGGTTTCTTCCTGCCCATCAGCACTGCCCACCTAACAGGTCACAGTTCCTGTTTCGCTCCCCTGGAGTCAGCCCACTCTCTGGGGGTGCACAGGAAGGTCCGACTTACAGAACCAGCAAACTCCAAAATAAAGTGGAAAGAGCAATTTCCGAGGGTTGCTTGGGTTTAAATGAAAACTAGCTGCTGCGTTTCTCCTGCTGCTCACCGCCCACCCCACACCCCCGCCCCCTGGCTGAGGAAGCCTCGGGCTCCGACCCTCGGGGCCCCACACGGGACGCGGGCCAGGGCTGGGCTCCCAGGAGGGCCAAGCGGCCCCCAGTCTGTCTGAACAGGAAGGAACCCTCCAATGCGAAGGGCAGGCGCCTGCGGCTGGGGGCCGCAGGGCTCCCCCCGCCGACGCCCCGGGCAGGGGCCCCGGGCGAGAGCCGCAGAGCCGAGGCCGGAAGTGGGTTTCCGCGAGCGCGGTGGGCATCGGTCTCGACCGCGGAGACCTCTGTGCCCCTCGTGCCGACGCCCACAGGCCCTCCCCCCGCCCACAGCCCCTCGGTTT